TTTGATCTCGCAAGTTTATTCGAAATATGCTGAGTTACGCTGAAATTGAGTTTACCAACGGAGTAATCAGCGTGCCAATCATTGCAATCTAGTGGACGCACACCATCGAATGACGAGATCTATACTTGAATGATTGATTGTCTCACAAACGGGACAATGAGCAAGGAAAGAGTCAAGCTCGTTATCCTCGCCCATATCGCTTTTAGGAGCCAGAGGCCAGATTCACGAAGAGCTTCTTAGTTTACGACAACCTAGCTAAGAAGTTCGTAAGTTAAGAACATCGTAAGAAGAGGAGAAATCGGTATTCACGAACGCGTTCTAAGTGAGAGGAGGAAAGCGACGTTGTCGTACGGAATAACTAAAACTTACCGGTGCTGTTGCTATGGCGACGGCGTCTTCGGCTGCACGAACAACCAATCGGAGAGCTCGGCATTTGTTCGGAGCCGTTCGGAGCCGTTCGGAGCACGTGGATTTTTCATAACAAACACAGGCTGCCTTTCTGCCACCGCTGGTCTGGGGTTCGTATCCGTGCAGTGATATGTCGACGCTAACACGATTTAAACTCGCCCGAATGCCGAGGCCGGGGTGCGTAACCACCCCCATTGACTGCTACGAACTCGATCGCTACCAAGTCAACACAACTGTCATCGTTGGTAAAAGACGGCCCGCAGTCGTTTGCAAAGCGACGTTGATGGGAACAAATTGCCGCGGCGTTTTTTGCGGCCTCGGAGATGCAGGAGCGAGCTGACGTTAAAAAAAGATACGTTTGAACTACGACAGTGTAAGCAAGAGCCACGTAAATGCTTGTTTACACTACGGAGCGGACGCGCGTGTTTGATCGAAGTGCTGGATTTGTGCTGTTGGACCGCGAATTGATTAACGCTTCGGGACCGATCCTTTACAATTGCAACTCGATGCTGACGTGACACCCGGCGAAGAAAGGTTCGACCGGCATTGCGACCCACGAACTGTTACAGCGATCGACAGTGAGGTGCAGTCGTGTCAGAATAAAATGGAATTCTAATAACAAAGTGTACATACCATGTTGCGAAGGTAATCCATACGGCGTTTATTTAAGCTTAAAGGGACACTGACACCCCCAAAAAAAAAATTTATTTTTTGCCAGGCGCTTCATTATGGTGTCGGAGGACTACCCAATTAATATTTTGCAACAGAGTAGCGTATTTTTTTAATAAAGCCAAAAGACGCAACTCCTCGAAACCGAAACCGAAACCCGACGGAGGTCGGAGAAGTGGAGAGAAGAGAGTGAGTGGCGGAAGTCACGTGGCTACACCCTACCGTGCGTTTTTTTTTTGTTTTTTTTCTCCTCTCCGGTAGCAGACGACAGGACATGCGGCGTGCGATGGGGCGTGCGGGAACTGCTCGCCGTGCGATATTTTGGCAGTTATGTTTGTTCCGCTCGTTGTTCTGTACTCCAAGATGAGTTGTTTTGTACATTGAGGAGTTGGACATGAGTAGTGAGTGCCCGTGGTGAATTTCCATGATCGGCTCCGAAAAGAATACACCCAAGATGTTGCGTGAAGAGCTGGCTCACATTTCCTGAATCCGAAAAAAAGTGGCATTGTGCGACAGAGTTTCCGAAAGATCAACGGGATCGGGACCAACGGCTGGCTGCAATTCCTGTAGAACATATACGGGCACCTCGGAAAGCGGACGTTACCTGATTTATATGCTCCTTGCATTTTGTGGAAAGTGATTACATTGAGCTCGCAGGTGTCGAAACGGAAATCCCATACGATTTAAATCAGCGAAGTATCGTCCACAACATTAGTTTGTTATTTTTTTGTTTGTTTCTTCAGTGATGATGGTAAAAAAATATATACATATGTAAACATCGAAAAATGTTTGAAGAAAAAAAATTAAGTTCCACGGGGGATCGAACCCGGTCCCACCGCGTGTAAACCGGACGTCTTTCCCACTGAGCTACTGGCGCATCGTTTTTTTGTAGGATTTCCTTCCTTAGTAACAATTCAGCCGGTAAACTGTAAGTTGGAAAGCTTGCTGTCGATTTTTCTCTAGCAAAAGCACTCCTGGGTCGAAGTCGGGAAGCACCACGCTTTGGGGACATTCGCACCTAGGAAAGAACTCGTACGCGTGCATATTCAACTCGAAGTAGACACGTCGTGCTTGACGTTTGCGCGAGCGTTGTCTTCAGCCACGAGAAGGGAGCGACGGCTCGGCGACGTCTTCGTGCAAATCGGCTTGGTGGCCGGGCGTGTCGTACGGGATGAATACCAATTCTTTTGATCAGTCCCAAATTTCTCTTTTAACGGTAGACAGAATTCGCCGGTACCGCGAACGACAGTTCTGAAATAGAGGTCCCACGCCCGTCGTCCGCTGCCATCGCCGTCCCCGCGAGTCCCACGATACGCGAAACGACGAACGCACAGAATGCTTCCGGTTGTCTGTGGAACCTTTTTTTTCAATCAACGTATTTACAGCTTTTTAGAAGCCACAAAAAATGGGTTTCATATTTTTTTCTATTTTTAATACTGACTGTGTACCTTCAGTGACCCACGACTTTGATTAAATTTGGTGGTCGCATCGATACCTTAGAAAACGGCCCGTGACCGCGAAAAAGAGAGTGAGCGAGACTCGAACCGGCCAGTTCTTGATCGGCGGTTTTCGGGCGGAAAGAAACCGAATTTCGAGCCGCAAATTCTGTTCTGGGTAGTTGAGCTCTCATATGTCACGTACAACTAAAAACCTCAGCGAGCATAAATACCCTGTCAGTGTCCCTTTAATATCACACAAAACAGAGATAGAATCGATGAGAGCCCCTTTTCGACGACAGCGTTCGTCACCGTTGCCTCGGAAAACAAGGAGATGACAAGAGGAAGAGATTGACCTCTTAATCTAGAATTGAGGTCAGCGATCAAACTATAATACGGGAAGGGTTCACAAGGGTCGTGCGTGCATATTCCATTCAGCACGCCAGCCGGTCGTGGGCAGACGGTCTTCGCCAAGGACCGTCAGATCATCGCTGCGCCGAGTCGGAGTGCCTGCTAGGCCTATCTGCCGATCGGTCGGAGTCCGTACTCGTGGCCCTTGGAGTTTTTCCCGGGTGTCTGTGGATCCAGCGTTCTTGCTCGTTCGTCGTGGTCTGTTTCGAGTACTTTTTACTTGTTTCTTGCTGCTTGAAGTCGGGACGCGTGAGAAGCGCACGTAGAAAAATAAACATCCGTTGGTTGTCGCGACCAACTGAGCGACGCTGTCGGCCATGCTGATTTGATCGTAAGAAGTGCGTAAGACAGCTTCTGAGCTGTCGTAGGATTTCGTCGTAACCTGCGCAAAACTTACGAAAATTTCGTTTCGTGAATACGGATTTGTTCTTAAGTTTTGTCTTACGCACATTTTTGGCGTAAGTTCGTTTCGTGAATCTGGCCTCCAGTTCTTTTATTGGATCTCGTCATTCGCCGGATGCGTCCTGTCTATGGCAGTGATTAACACACTCTGATTGGTCTGTTAATGGCGTAGACGCGCAGATATGTTTTAGTTATGCGACTGCGCTTCAGCAAAGATGAGTGGATCCAATTTCAAAATTTGCGCCGTTGAATCAGCGTTAGGGCACAATACTTACCCTTAAG